TTTTCAACCAAGAGATTACATTGTTTCCATGACACAAAATAATGAGTTTAGATGTCTTCCCAACCCCTGCCCAATGGAAATAACTGATTTTCAGTTGTTCAGAGATATGGAAGACACAGTCTTAACTATCAACAACTGGTTAAATTAAATCATGTGCCAACATTTAAAGAGTGAAACTGAAGCTTGGTGACAGAATATCTGCATAGGAGGCTGGACGTGGTGCTAAATGCAAACTAAAATAAACTGGCTGACGTCGGTCTTCTGAAGACTCAGATAATGAAATGTTAGCATCTTTTCTTTGCTCCTGGTATCCAATGCATAAATTAGTCTTCTTAACAAGAAAAATGGTGTCTGAAAAACCCTGGGAGCACACCTCTATCTCCCGCTGTATTACTCAGATAACCTTTTCAAATTAAGTGGGAGCACAGCATCTGAGAGCTAGATTAGTGGGTAGAAAATTCTGGTCCAGAATAAAAGTGGGAAAAGATAAATATCATATACTAAGATTAGGGGATTTCTTCCCCCTCAAGAGTCTATTACTTCATTTTTTTTTTAAATCTAAGAAGAAAAAAAAAAAAAAGGGAAAAAGCATGGAATAATTATCTCTCTAGTCTGCCCCCAAGGTCAGCATAAGTGACTGGGCCCCGCACCTCCTATCTGTGGCCATATGCATATAAATTCACGATCAACAGCAGTACGACTCACAGAGTAGATCCACTCCAAACTGATGCTGAGCGATGTGCTCAAAGATGGACGTCAGGATGGGGAGCAAAGCCACTGTGGTATAATTAATATTCTGAGAAACGCCTTTAATCTGTGTTCTGGAATGGGTAAACTTCCCAAGCTTCAGGTTTTCCGAGGTCTTTTCCAAGTCTTCTGCAGCATTTTCAAAGAATGCTCGCAACCCAGCCTTCACCAGCTCTGAGCCTGACTTCATGACAGTCCTGCAAAGAAAAAATGCTCAAAACGAGAAGCATAAACTGAGATTTTGGCCAACCCCCTTCTTGAAACTGGTGACTTGCAGTGTAACCTGGACAGACAACTGACACTCCAGTTACCTGACAACACTGTGTGAGGAGAAATGGAGAGAACAGTTAACATCCAGGAGGAAACCTGGATCACACAGTCCCAAAGAAGCTAGCAATTGGGCATGGGGCTCAGTTTGACGGAATTATTGTTCGATTTCTAAGAAAATGTAGGGAACAATTTAGAATGAAACCCATACTGATCACCTGCTCTCTATAGAATGGTGTAGCTGGCTATGGTCTTCTGTAAATGTCTAACAAACAGGACAGGGAGGCGAACCTTTCTTGTAGCTCACTGTGGGATAAACAACTTTTATAAGGACAAGCTAGAAACTTTCTTGCTACAGGTTTTGTCAGGAATGATTATTAAACATGCTGACCTGCACTTTTTAAAAAACTGGACTCTAGGGCTGGCTGGTTAGCTCAGTTGGTTAGAGCTCCACCTTGTGACACCAACGTGAAGGGTTCAGAACCCTGTACTAGCCAGCCGCCAAAACAAACAAAAAACAAAACAAACAAACAAAAATTGGACTCTGTCCCAAGGTCTTACACATGATTCTTGGAGTAAAGATTCCTCATCCCAATTGTAAGGGATTTCTGATGCCTGGGATGCCTTAGTCAGATCCTGCAAAGTGTGTGCTGTCCTAATATCACCACAACAGGTTTGTTTCTCTCAAAAACCCTAAAATTCCCTTTTATGGTCTTTATGTATGTATTTATTTATTTTGGTAGCCATTTGCAGTTCACTGTGAATTTTTTATCTTCGGGCTCTTTTTTTGTAGGGTGGTGTCTCTCTTCCACACTGGGTCTTGGGAGGTGTGTCCTCCCCGCAGCTCTGACAAGGACCCTTCCTAATGAGCGTGTTAAAGAAAGCTCCCCATCCGTTCTCTTCACTACTCCTCTGTTTTTTAATCTCATCATTTATATTAGTATTACCAGAACTTACATATTACTATTTAAGACTTACTCCCCTGTTCAGCATCTTTCCTCCCAGACCCCCAGACTATGGGCTCAAACCGATCTCTGTCTTTGACCTTTTTTGAAACCAGATCTCCCTGCAGTTCCGTCCTTCGTCATTGTTAATTCAGAAGAATATCGCTCTGCTCTCCCAGGATGCTTATGTCTTATCACCCATCAGGCAGCTGTTCCTTTTTTGTGGAGAATTAGGTGCAAAGTGGCACTCTACCACATTATATATCTTCTGAAAGGTGAACTTCTCAGTAAGAGAAGACAAAAATTGATCAAATGCTCAGCTGTTCAGTATATGCCATGACAGTGGCTCTATGTCATGTGAACAGAGAAACAGAGTGCGAACTTCCAGGCTCCGACTCATCTTTGCCCTGGCTCCCCTCTCCTCCCGGTGCCTGCAGAGCAGTGACCATCTTCTCGTCAGTACATTCACTAGTGAGATGAGAGGGTCAGAGAGGGAGTCTTGAGAAACTATTGGGAGAAACTGGGCAGTCTTACCTTGTGTCAAGTGTTTGAGCTAAGATGTGAAGACAGCTCACCATCGTAGTAGAATCACTACCTAGAATTAAAAATATCACCTATGACTCCCCAAACCACTTAGTTTGTCTTTTAAATGCAATTTTCGCCATATGCGCAAGCTACAGCCCAGCATAATTAACCACCATTACACAAAGTGCCAGGCCCGTGTGCAGGGACTA